AAATAGTAAGCAGAAATCGAGGCTAAAAATGTGTAGAGGGACCCCACTCGGCCGTTAGTCAAAGGGTATTTAAGCTGAAAATGAAAGGACAGAAAACATAGCAAGGTGAAGAGCATGACCAAGAGGTTTATAGCAGACTCTTTTCCATCAGGAACAGAGGAGCCTCCACATCTGGAGTCTCCCACATCTGTGTGAAAAGGTGGGAAGACCACTGGAGAAAACGCCAGGGGAAGGAGGAGCTGGATCATCCCCTCATAAGCAGGGGAAGCCAGTGCTGAAGGGGACCCTTTGGGCTCCTAGTCAGTTGGTGGCACAAAAGGTCACTGAGCAGCCCTGCTCTCCCAGTTACAATAACTGGCCAGTAAAAACTGGGAAAAGGCACCAGATAGAGAGAATAGTGATCCAGAAATCCAAAGAGAAACCAGGATAAGCTCATTCATCCAGCCCAGGAAGGCACAGAAGGACAGCCCAGGCCAGTGGGAGCACAAATAAACAAGCCAGAAGTCTGCCAGTACTCTGACCAGTCATAGTCCAGGGCACCCCAAACCTGCAGAGCTCTGCTCCCAGGAAACAGAAGCCCATGAGGCTCAGACAAAGAAGTTCCTGGGGGGTCAGCAATCAAAGCATGAACATGGGGCCAGGCAGGAGGCATAAGATATGGCTGCAAGGCCCACAGAGTCCCAAAGTCCAGAGTCCTCTGACCTTTGAGGCTCCAGGAGCCTCAAAAACCAAGGCATTAGGACCCCAGACAAATCAGGGGATAGGGATCGTAAACCCATCAGTGATCTGGATGCAGATCCTGGGAAACTGGGGGAGCCATCCAAGGCAGGAACAAGGAGGGCCCATCCAAGAGGGTAGAACTAAGGCCTGGCACAAAAGCCCAAGCCAGTACTAAAGATTGGAGGCAGGAGGAAACCAAAGATGCTGAGTAACAATAATATTAAGAACTGACAGCTGATATTTATATGGTGCTCTAAGGTTGCAACTTAGATTACATACATAAGTGATCATACATATTTAAATACATAATCTAATTCATTCCCCACAACAACTGGGTGAGGTATCTGTTGTTCTTATGCCCAGAAGTGAAGAAATGATGAAATCTTGAATCCAGAAGAAAGTAATTCAGCAACACTTCCAAGCAGACAGAGCTGCAGAGAAAAAATAATTTGGCTGGGCCACCAGAACTCCCAGAATTCCTGGAAGAAAAAGCAAGAGATAAAAAAAGAAAGAAAGAAAGAAAAAGAAAGAAGAAAGAAAGAAAGAAAGAAAGAAAAAGAAAGAAAGAAAGAAAGAAGAAAGAAAGAGAAAAAAAAGAAAGAAAAAGAAAAAAAAGAGAAAAAAGAAAGAAAGAAAGAAAGAAAGAAAGAAAGAAAGAAAGAAAGAAAGAAAGAAAGAAAGAAAGAAATGAAGTTATAAGTTGAAAAGAGTTCTGGAGGAAAGAATCAGGTGAAGAAATAGCTGAGAATTGAGGGGTGAGATTATGACATTTTCATGGTCCCCATTAAGGGACTGGTTCTCAAACCATCTGAAAGAGTGGAGGACACTTGGAAAACTAATGAGCCTTATTGTGAGCAGGAGGGGAAAGACAACCAAGAAAATGTAACTGACCGTCCATCCCCTGATGAGCTCCTTTATGAGAATGAGCTGAACACGGATGGAGCAGCTAGGTGGAGCAGTGGGTAGTACATCGGCCCTGGAGTCAGGAGGCCCTGAGTTCAAATTTGACCTCAGACACATAACACTCACAAAGCTGTGTGACTCTGGGCAAGACACTTAACCCCAGTTGCCTCACACATACACAAAAGAATAAGCTGAACACCCATTAATTCAATTCAACCAGCATTTACTAAGTTCCTACTGTATGCAAGAGCCTAAGAGAGACACAAAGAATATAGATGCAAAAATAAAAGTCAATCCCTACCCTCCAGGAGTTTTCATTCTCCTGGGGACCATACAAGCTGGGCCCAAGTAAGTACAAAGCCTGTGCAGTCATACGCAGGGGAATGACAGCTCAGTGTGGGGTCCAGGAAAGGTCCTGGGTAGGAAGGAGTTGAGCTGTGCTGGGAGGGAAGTAAGAGATTCTGAGAGGTGGAGGTGGGAAGAAAGTGCCCCCAGGTACGGAGACCTGCAAAAGCCTGAAGGTGGGAGGTGAAATATCCTGGATGGGGAACAGTAGCCATTTTCTAAAATTATAAGTTGCAAAGGTGATGGGGATTTCTTTACTGGAAATTTTCTACACCAATGAAATCCCAAGTCCAGATCAAAAAAGACAGGAAGGGAGGGACAGACAGACAGAATGGCAAAAATGGATGGAAAACTTAGCCTCAAGAAGACCTGGGTTCAAGTTCCACCTTTAAGCGTATCACCCTGTGCAAGTCATTTCTTATGCCACAGAAGCTCTTTAAGTAAAAGGAAAATGGCAGACCTTCTTGGGTAGAGGAAGAGTCTTCACCAGGAGTTCCCTAAGCTAATGAAATCTTCCTCTGGACAAAATTAAAAACATTAAGTAGGTTGGAAAAACTGACACCCCCCCCCCAAACAAGATGGCGGAGGTGTAGTTAGATGGCAGTTCATCTGAAAAAGATCTGGGGGTTTGAACGAACGACAAGCTGCATATGGGTTGACAGTGTGAGGTGGCAGCCAAGAAAACAAATGAATTGTTGGGCTGCACCATGGGATGCACAGGGAGTGAGAGCCCCTGTGCTCTGCCCTGGTCTGATGTGCTGTGATAATGGAAAGAATAGCCAGCATTTGTCCAGCGCTTTCAGGTTAATGCTCGACAAATATTACCTCCTGTCGCCCTCACAACAACCCTTTTACAGTCTCCATTTTACAGCTGAGGAAACTGAGGAAGACAGCAATGAACCGACTTGCCCAGGGTCTCCCAGCTCGCGTCTGTGTGCATTGTGGCTCCCCCAGCTGCCTTATTCCATCTAGAACCACACATGATCGACAGTATTGTGTTCTATTGGGGGGCGTCACGTTTGAGGAAGGACTGCGGGAAGCGGGAGCACCCAGGCGCCAGCTCGGATGCAGAAAGGCTTCCACTTTACCCCACGCTGTTTCTGCTCGGCCCTGGAGGCCTGAACCGTACTGATGGCTGGAAGCTACAGGAGGGCAAATTTAGGAAGGAAACCTTTCCGAGAAGAGCGAGACAGAAGCTGCCCCAGAGCGCAATGGCCTGAGCGCGCTCCCTCCCTGAACTTCTTCGGTCCGAAGCCGTCCGGCTCCTCCTCGGGTTTGTGGCAGGGACGCTCTCCAGGGCGAGGTGGCTTCTGAAGACCCTTCCAGTCCGAGGGCCTGAGATCCCGACACGTGCCCAAGGGCATTCCTAGGCCAGGGGAAGCTGGTCCTCAGGTCCTGACTCCGCAGGCGCCCATGGTTCCCTGGCTGTCCCACTTTCCTCTCCGCCCTTGGTTAACCATTTCAAATGAGAGCCAAGGAATTGCTCGCCACCTCCGCCTCAGAACGAATGATAATGAACATTTAAGAATTCAGTTTTTGACAGGCATAAAACCACTGAAAATCCATTTCACTGTGGAGAGCCGGGGGAGCAGCTGCACCACAGGCTCCTGGTGACTCACCCCACCCCCGCTCAGAAGCCCTGTGGGGCTGGGATAGTAGAAAACATCTCCAAGCTTGTCATCCACCCAGCCCTGCACTTTTACAGAAGGGCAAACCAAGGCAGCCCAGAGAGTCCTTGTAGTCCTGGGTGGTGTGCCATCTGGGCTCTCCCCATGGTGGAACAGAAGCTAGGGTGGCCTTGAGGCAAATTCAGGCTCCTGTGTTGAATCCTGGGCTTTTCCTGCAATGCCCACAAGATTGTGTGCATAGAAGGGCAGGTGGATGCGTTTAGGTGCGCTAGCAGGATTCACACCTGTGTCAGCAGGTGGGGAGTTTGGGTGAACACACCTACACTCATGGGGACTCCCTTGTGCCAAGAGCAGTGAGCTGGGTAAGCCTTTCCCTGGGTCAGCTCAAGGGCCACATTCTCTAAGAAGCCCTCCTGATTCCTGAGTTAGTTTTTTCTAACCCCTGAAAAGAATAGATTCATGGGCATTCCTTTCCCCCAGTGCAGTGTCGGCTATCTGAGCAAGGGGCCTGTTTGCATTTTGTCTTCATATGGCCAGGCCTCACCACAAGGCCTGGTACTAAGTAGTGCTTAAGAAATGCTGTTGGAATGAAAATGTCAAAGTGGGAAACCCAGGGTCTTCTCCTCCTCTACCAAAGTGAGAAAAATTATGACTGGCAGTGACTAGGACTGGGAGATCAGGAGTCCTGGGGAAGGGGAGAGGAAAGAGGGAGGAAAAAGGAGAGAGGAAGGGAAAGGATATGGGGGGGAGAAGGGAAAGGAGGAAGGACAGAGGGAGGAGAAAAATGAGAGGGAGGGACGCATGAAGGAAAGGGCTACAAAAGGGGAGAGAGGGAGACAGAGAAGGAAAGAGGAGAGGAGGAAGAGGAAGAGAAGGAGGGGAAGGGAAAGGGGAAGGGGAGGGACGTGAGGAAGAATGGAGTATGAAAAAGAGAGAAAGGAGGGGAGGGAGAGGGGGGAGAAGGAGGAGGGAGAAGGGAAAGAGAAGAAAAGAGAGAGAACCGTTGCCCTCAGGCTCGTGCTGTAATCATAGCAATACTAGGTGACAATGAACTCGTGTTTCAAAATGTGCGGATCAGTTTTCACGGATCATCTCATTTGATCCAAATGTCCCAGTGAGGTTCCTTTGTGGGAGGCAACATGGCCTAATGAGCAGAGCACTGGACCCAGGGTCAATCCAGCCCGAGTTCAAATCCTGATGTGGCCCCTAAGTGTGTGACCATGAGGTAGTTATTATCCTCAGAGCCAGTTTCCCCATCCATAAACTGAGGGTGCTAATGCCTGTAGAAAACACCTCACACGATGATTGTGATGATCAAATGATCTCACGTATGTGAAGGGCTTTGTGAACCTTACAGTGCTGGAGATAAACCCTGACTATGATGATATCTCATTCCGCCCGTAGAGTCATGGTGCCCATATCTTGCAAGGGACCCACCAACCCATGTGAGGCCAGTGGGAAGCAGCATGATGGGATCACCAGAGGCCATCACTGCACCCGTGGTTTCCGAGGTGAGAACTGTCCCTCCATATGTGCATCCAGAATACACACATTCCCTAAATGTGCATGCCTCCATATGTGTGCCTCCGCATGCGCGCTCACCCCACTTGTTCTGTGACTATTTGTGGGAAAGTATGCCCCAGGTTGTCGGGGCTGGAGGTGGGGACACCATATTACTATTTTGCTATGTTGTTTTGTTAAATGTATTTGCTTTGAACTAATTATGTTCTCTGGCTGATACGTAAAAGTAAAAACACTGTTAGGGGCTTATGAGTCATGGGATTTTGAGTGGATGTTGACAGGAAGAGTGCTTTGAATTTGGGTTAACCGTTTCTGGAGGACCCATATGTGGTAAGGGGCCACACCAGATACTAGTCACAGATAGAAAGCTGAAAAGGTAAATGATTCACCCATGGCCACAAAATGAGTGTTTGAGGGGTGGTTTCAGTGCAGCTCTCTCCTGATTCAGGGCCCAGGGCTCTGACTTTAAGCCTGTTGCTTCTAAACAGATGGGAGAAGGGAGTAAAGTCAGCAGCAAGGATTCGCTAAGCTTGTGTTGTCTGCTGGGCACTGTGCTGGGTGCCTGGAAACAAAACCAAGAACTGAATCTTCCCCGCCTTTGGGAAGAAGACCACCATTCTATCAGGAACAGCGCAGATTTCTTTAGCATTTTAAGATTTTCAAAATGCTTTCCTCAAAAAACTCTGTGTGGTAGAGATGAGTAAGTATCATTATCCCCATTCTAGAGATGAGGAAATTGAGGCTCAGAGAAATTAAATGACTAACCCAGGATCACAAATGCATCAAATGTTGAAACTGAAACTTGAATCCAGGTCTATGACCCAGTGAATAGAGTGCTGGGCCTGGAGTCAGAGAGAACTGAGTTCAAATTCAGCCTCAGATACTTTCGCTGTGTGATCCTAGGCAAGCCACTTCGCAGCTGTTTGCCTCAGTTTTCTTAGCTATAAAATGGAGGTAATAATAATACCTCCCTTTCCCAGGGTAGTTGTGAATCCAATGAAATAATCATTATAAGGCACTTAGCCCAGCACCTGTCATATAATCAGGGCTTAAATAAATGCTTCTTCCTTTCCCTTCCCTGTTCACTTGCCCATGGCACCTGCCACATTTTGATTTTTGGGTCCATTTTGGACAGGCACCCACATTTCTGACTGCCTTGACAGCTAAAGGCTTCTGTTTCCTAGCATTCCCCAGCTTCAGCCACGGGATCTTTTCTAAGGAGCGGCCAGGTCCCGCCTACCACCCCCATCAGCATGGCTCTGACAGGAGCCAACGCTTTTTTTTTGTAGTACACAAAAAATGAGGCATGACCTTTGTTGTCACATTATCTGTTTTCTTTGTGAGGAGGAAACCCCCAGCTCAGCTGACAGGCAGTCCGATAGTCCTTTGGCCAGTGCTGTCCCCACTCACTTCAGCCGACGACCAAGCAGGTACACTGGGCTGCAGCAGGCCTCCCTTTGTGACTTATCTCCTTTCCATGGACTTTTTTACCCTATGGAGGACTCCCCCCTTCCACGATCTAAGCAGATCATATTCAAAACTTAAAACTGCATCATTTTTGTTAGATTTTCTTTGTATTGACTATCTACGGTCCCCTTTGGCGTTCCACTATGGCATGAAAGTATGATCCAGGGCTCTGGAAGGCTATGCCTCTGAAGGCCCTCCAAGGAGGAGCTGGCTTCAGGTATGCCTTTCCACCTCTCCCTCCAAACTGTTCTCTGTCCTTGCCATGACCTCCAGTTTCCCCCATCTCTCCTTCTCCCAGGCCACCAAGGGACGATGGAAATGGCACTGGATCTGAAGTCTGAGGACCTGGGTTCCAGCCTGGACATTGCTACTTAGATGCTTACTGCCTTGTGACCTTGGGCATGTCATTTTCTCTCACATCCTCAGCTTCCTCATCCACAAAATGAGGAGAGTAGATTCACTTTCCTCCCAGATCTCTCCTGGCTCCACATCTCAGGTCTTTGGTCTCTGACCCCTGCTCTGGCCTCGAAGTTCCTTCACATTTTTAGGTGTCACCTACACACCATCCACCACATGTAAAGCCCCTTGTCCCCTCTAGGGCTCTTCCTCCATGGGCCCCCTGGCAGTCCTCAGAACAGATGTGCCTGTGAGCACAAGGAATGCCCCATCTCAGTGGCTCATGTCCCTGACATTCCATCAGTAAAGGAGCATGACAGAGTCCTGAGCATTCACTGGTCTGGCAAGCTATTCACACACATTGGGGACCTGGCCTTTTATCCTCCTTGAGACCTGGGGGGATGCCGGCTGTTCTCTGGTCAGTCCCTGAGAAGGTCTCAGATTAACAAGAGCTAGCATTCATGGAGCCCAGTAAGGTCAGCAAAGCACCTGCCCCATAGTGCAACAACTTGTGAGGCAGGAGCGATTAGGACAGGTGTGTGTGGTTAGGGAGAGAAAGCAGAGGAGATGGAGCTGAATGGAGGCGATGCTCTCAGAAGCGTGGCAACGCTGGGAAGGTGAAAGAGGACAAGATTTGAGGAGGACAGGGAAGCTATGGGATGGATCCTTTAGGTTAAAGGATCGAAGGTCAATGCAGAGGGAACAGAAGGAAAAGCTGAATCACCTGGGGAGATGGCCCTGGGCTCTCCCCAACCTGATGTCTGCAGGGTCCTCACTGGCTAAGCATTCTGGCCCAGGGGCCCTGGCTGACACAAGCACTTGGTGGGGCAGCCCCCATTCTTTTTCTGGTTTCCCTTGGCTGCTCATGGGGAGGGAAGGAGGAAAGTACCAAGCAGGAGTCAAGATGAAAATGCAGGAAAAGTGAGAGCATTCAGCCCTTCTGATACACTTCTCTTTGGAGGCCTTTCTTATGACTCCCAGATCCTTCAGGAAAACAAACTCCAGCTTTGGGTGGGAGTTTACAGCCATTTGCTCCCTAGGTCCTCACAATTCTGTGAGATGGTGTTGGTATGACCCCCATTTTACAGCTATGTCCCTGAGTTTCTCCTTAAAGTGCTCTATCAGTAGCTACCAGCATTGATTATTATCACTATGATTAATATTAGTATTACTAACCCACCCATCACAGAAAAACAGTGTTCTTCCAGCATTCGCTTTGGCCACTGCCTCCTCTGCTCCTGTGACATTTGGGGGCCCCTCAGAAGCTCCATGACTGATCAAACAAGACGCCTTGTTATTCCCCTCCCAGAGACCCCCTGGCAGCAGCTCCGCCCCCTCCCTTCAGATGGCACTTGGCAGAGAGGGAGAGAGCTGGCTGTTTGCCCTAATGAATATTTACCTTGTTCTGAATCATTACTCTCTCCTTTTACTGACTTTTTAAAAAAGAAGATCATGAAGCTTCTCTCTAGGGACCTAAGAAGGTTTAAATATTAAAAAGCACAAGAGACTGGCAGCATTCATATTCCTTTTAATTGAAGCTTCTTGGGGTTATTGCCTAGAAACCTACATTATTCCAGTGGCTGATAAAATGACAGCAGATCCCACATGGAGCAAAGTCAGCACAAGCAGATCAGTATACAGAGCTGCCCAGTGAGCTGCCCAGGCCATGCTGACAGCCTCATCTCCAGATGCCCTGGCCTCACCAAAGAGCATGGCTGAGGGTGGGCCAAAATGGCGGCTCTCAGTCTGTTCACCCACAAGTTGAAGGTTGCTACGTGTGCTGGGGAAGCAAACCACGGCCCAGGGTAGTGACTGTTGGGTCAACTGTGAGTTTTGGTCCCTGGAACTGTGAGAGAGGCTCCTGCATGGACAGGATGGTAAAGATGGAGTTGTCTGTGTTGGGGGACAGGTAGAGACCTGTCTGTAGGCAGAAGACACATTGGCTTCCCCCTTAGCTGTCTGATGGTGTGTAGACATTTATGGATGCACACACACACACACACACACACACACACACACACACACATCCCTTTATACCTTGTAAGAAGGGACCAAGTAGGGTGAAGGGTTATGACAAGCCTTCAAGGCCAGCCAGAGCCCAGCTGGAGCCCTCCTCAGCCTCCTCCACCAGCTGTAACATTCAGAGATCTACAGGTGGAGACAAAAGACTGTACCTTGTCCTCCAATCTAAATAAGACACTAGAAATCCCTCAGTGGAGAATGAAAAGTGGAAAGTAAGACCTTACAATGGAGTCTCAGATAAAGAGGCTAAGAGGCTGAACCCATGAGCCCTGAATGGCTGCCTTCTCCATGCCCAACTGGCACTGAACCAGGTGTTGGAAGGCTGTCAGCACCGGGCACCCACTGGACCAGGGAAGCATGTCTCTCCTTCCCCACAAGGCAGGTCATTGACCCACCTGTGTTTTGGGGCAAAAACCAGGGTTTATTCCAGGACCAGTGGGTCATACCGCAGTGTAAGTAAAACTTATATACAAATATGGCTTGTTATTTTACTTCTGGAGTGGCCAGAGGCTCAGCCAATGACAAGCCAATGCATCTCAGAGCCCCAAGCCCCTGATAGCACAGTGAAAACTAGGAACCCTGATGTGTAAGCTCATCAGAGGATGACAGTGGTTATGATTCTGCAGATGTGTGACTGCTCCTTGTCGGTACACTAATGCTGGTGCTGGGGCACAGCCCCTGGGGTGCCCTGAGGGACTCAGGAAGCCTCTGCTAGGGAGGAAAGGAGAGACAGCACAGTGGAGGATCTAGGCTCAGGTCCCACCCTGGCCCCATACTGGCTGTGGGCACTGGGCTAAACACTGAGAATGCAGAGACAAAGAGAAAGACCATCCCTGCCCTCATTGGCACATAAAGAGAGCTGAAAAGGGGGAGGGGGAGAAGGGAAGTGGCCAAGGTCAGGGGACTGCAGCCTGGACCCTCTCAGTGCCCCGGACCACCCGGAAACCACAAGGGCAAAGTAAAATCACTGCCTGTCTGGCTCAGGAGAGGACAATTCTATACTGATAAAACCATGGCCTGATTCTAAGGAATAAATGAATGAATGCTGGCTCTAGGGCCAGGTTTGGGGCTTGCGTTTGAATCTTTCTCCAAACGCTGCAACATTCCTCCTCTGTAAAATGGGGTTCAATGGACATTGGCTCCCCTCCTTTGTAAACCTTTGTTACAGGAAGTATTTCCATCCTGGCCCCAGCAGCAGCTCAGCTCATTCCTCAGAGAAACTCACATGAACTCCAGGCTTGGAGAATCCATGGCATGAGTGGAGCATGGGATGGCACCTTGGGGATGCTCAGGCACTGTCCATCTGCTCAGCAGGGTTGTCTGGGAGAGGCACCATCGCCTCTCACTGAGGGGGTACAACTGCAGTCTGGCTGGCTGGCCTACTGGCCTCTGGTCTCAACTCTGTTGGATTTCTTTGCTTTTCTTCTTCCCAGTTTAAGCTATTTCCTTCCCAGCCCAGTACAGCCAGCTGGACCGTTTCCAGGGACTCAGTTTATTTTACATCTTCTTCTGTCCCAAGGAAATTCTCCTAGCTTCTTGGGGTGAGGTGGGGGGGAAATGAGCCAGAAGTGGGGGGTGGGGTGGGGGAGAGCCTGCTCCTAGGAAAGCATCCACCTCTGCAGCCAGGCTCAGCAACCTGGGAGAGGGACTCTTCAAAATGGATCACTCTCCAAAGATATGTTGGCAGAGAATAAGGAGCAGATGCAGAAGGTGGCACATTTCACTGAGATTAAGTAATTCTTAAAGACAGTGATTAGATTCTGGCTAGAGCAAGCAGCCTCCTAGGCAGTGCCTGCTCTCTCCTATTACTAGCTGATCTCAGGAAAGACCAGACCTCACGGCTGTGGAAGGTGCTTTGGTTCCCCATCACTTCTGCCACTAAGTAAAACTCCTTATTTTCACCAAAACAAAACAACACAAACAAAAAACCCTCTTAATGACCGTCCCTCAGCCCCATCAGTTAACATGGAACCTCTTAAAATCTTACCATGATACAGATGTGTGATTGTGTGTGTGTGTGTGTGTGTGTGTGTGTGTGTGTGTGTGTGTGTGTGTGTGTGTAGATAGATGCATGCAGAGAGCAGAAAATGTCATGGACTCTCAAAGCCATTGCTTTCCTTAACAACAAAACCATCTCTGTACTATGGTTTTCAAATGGCCTTGTAATGAGGGGAGAGCTAGAGTCTGCTTTGGATGCCAGTCAGCTGTGAAGTTCAGAATCTATAAGTCAGGAGACAGAAACCACTTTCAGTCCTTCTGTGAAATAAAAGGAAGAAAAATGAAGGAATGGGAACTGTGGAGATTTCTACCTCCGAGAGCTCTGCACCATCATTCCCCTGGATCTGCACACTAGATAAGGACTCATCAGAGGTTAGGTTTGACCTGGTTTGGAAAGCCAGGTGGGCAGGTATCCCGGGAGAAGGAGGCTGTGCTCTGGGGGGCATACTCTGAATGTGGATGCAAATGAACTGTAGTGGACATCTCTATTCTACTTCATGCACTCCATAGTCCAGCCAAAATGGCCTCCTGACTGCTCCTCACAAATGGCACTTCATCTACCACCTCTGTAGCCTTGCCCCAGCTGTTCCCATGTATGGAACATCCTTCCTCCCTCTCTCCCCAAAACCCCTTGTTCTTTGACAAAGCTCAGCTCAACTGCCATTCTCTTGCTGTTCAGTCATTCCACTCTTCATGACTCCATTGGGGGTTTTCTTGGCAAAGACACTGAGGTGCTTTACCATTTCTTTCTCCAGCTCATTTTACAGGGGAGGAAACTGAGGCAAACAGAGTGAAGTGACTTGCCCAGGGTCACACAGCTAGAAAGTGTCTGAGGCTCAATATGAATTCAGGAAAATATGTCTTCTTGATTCTAGCCCAGGTGTTTCGTGTGCATTATCTCACCCCCTAGCTGCCATCCTTTACATGAGGTCTTTCCTGCTATGGCCTCCCTCCTCCCCTCCCATCCCCCCAATACCTTTTACTGATTTGGCTTCTCTTTTGCAACCGTCCTTGCTTTCTGCCTGTTTTTTTTTCAGAGCTATATTTCAAGAAATCATAAATGAAAACTGCACAAGACAAAAGTAAATTGTCCCAGCTCCTTGAAAAATTATTTTTTAATCTAAAAAAAATCCAGCCCCCAAATAACTTACAAAATATAAGTGACCAAAAATTGTTGCTGTTATTGTTTGTCCTTCATTCTGGGAGGGGACTGATGACATCATGAGACTGATGTCCTGACTTGCATGTGAATGGACTTGAATGAGGCTGACTTGACCCTAGTGGGGAGCCAAGAGGATGCTGCTGCTGCTGCTACTGTTGCTGCTGCTGCTGCTGCTGCTACTGTTACTGTTGCTGCTACTGTTGCAGCTAGCACTGCTGCTGCTGTTACTGTTGCTGCTGCTGCTGCTGCTGTTACTGTTGCTGCTACTGTTGCTGCTGCTGTTACTACTACTGTTGCTGCTGCTGCTGCTGCTACGGTTACTGTTGCTGCTGCTGCTGCTGCTGTTACTGTTGCTGCTACTGTTGCTGCTGCTGTTACTACTACTGTTGCTGCTGCTGCTGCTGCTGCTGTTGCTGTTGCTGCTACTGTTGCTGCTGCTGCTACTGTTGCTACTACCACTGCTGCCGCTGCTGCTACTGTTGCAGCTAGCACTGCTGCTGCTGCTGTTACTGTTGCTGCTGCTGTTACTATACTGTTGCTGCTGCTGCTGTT